ACGAAGGTGGCATCAAAATTGAATTATACTATTGAACATGATAAATCAAAACCGAGATCAGTTGAAACCGCTTCAAATGTTCTGAGTGTGTGGGGTGGGTGAGAGAAAATTTGGGATATGTCATCGAATAAAAATTGAAACGTGATTTCGAAAATATGGAATATTTTAGATATGAGTAGATGTGGAATGTACTCTAGTATGAATTCAGTGAATGGGCTGGGTTGGTTTACAGTTCATTCGGTAGTAATTTCAAATTGAAAAATAGTGTACTTCGTTTCAGGTCTCTAAATAGCGCTGTTTACCCGTAATTAATTATTGAAAATCGGCCCATGACGTCACGGGCCTAGTCCCGCTTCTTGTTCGATTGACCAATAGATACAATACAAAATACAATAAACAGTAAACATTGTTAAATTTCCGGGAGCGGATTCATTCGTGATTGAAAGTAAAATCACACTCATTTCCGACAACGAAATCTAAGAAGAAATTGTAAGAAATGCATTGAAAGGGATAATTAACTATAAATGGGGTCCAAATAACACAAAACGCAATAAAAACGTTATTTTTAATAGCATGAAGCAAGCCCATTATGTTTTATTATGTTTTTGTTCAGAATAAACATGCATGTAGTCAGTTTATTGAAATGCTTCGGCCAAGATGCATATAATGTTCCTGTAATTATCACGTAAACACCTCCCGCATATCAAATATTTTGTCAAAATGTCTCGAGCACTCCCGATACAGAAATGTAAAGAGATCTAATAAATTTTAGAATTCTATTCAGGAACGTGCTGAGTACACTTCAAGTGAAACTATTTGAAAAATGTTAAACTAGCACTTCAATTTTCAATGTGAAAGAGTTTCTTGTACATTCTAGTGTACGAAATGAAAATCTGAACCGAATATGCGTGTCAGATTTCTATTCTTTCAGCATCTAACAACATGTGCACAAAGTTAGGTCATTTTCAGTTCTTGCGTTGAGGGTTTTTGTCAAAACGAAAGCGAAGTGGTAAAAACACTGTTCTATATATTATTCTATAATTCCAAAATTGTAAGCCCTCAATTCTCAGAAATGACTGACGTTTTAGTCTCGATATGTCTCTTGCAGTTGCATAAGGAAATTAAACTGAACGTGTTAGGAATCACACGTTAAAAGGTGAGACCTCGTTACTCCTTAGCTCGCACAAGTTTCTCAACTTTTAAGAGTTGTCGTTCGTATGGGGGCGACAGCTGATTAACGGAAAAACAGATTTTTATTTAAACAGATGAAGAAAACTGATACTAAAATAAATAGAATCACAATCTTGACAACAATGTTTTCGTTTTGATGCAGTATCATTTCTGAGAATTAAGTGCCTGCTTTCATGAAATTATATTAGATTATTTCGAAAGTTTCGTCCGTTTTTGAGTCTATTTCTAACTGCACTATATCAGTGAATACCCATTCAATTCAATCGAAATAAGCGTCATTTGATTCAGTACACTTTTTCCAACGTAACACTTATTCCGCCAGCATGAAATTTTGTGCTCGGAACTCGATAAAGTCAACGATGACTGTTTAAGCTCGATCCTGATTAGCAAAGGTTCTACTGATGAGAAAGTTATCGGTGTTTGAAAAGTCGGTAAGCGAAAGGTCTGGGGAACTTCGATGCTCAACTCGTTTAATTTTCGGACAGGCTTTGTCGTGGAGCAGATTCTGACTCCATTTCAAAATGAGTGGTTATACTTGGAGACTGGCACAATTGGCTGGCTTCTTCAGAGGTTTATTCGTCTTGAAATCTCGTCCGCGAGACTTCCATTGTCTAATATGATAAAAATTGATTTAAAATCCCTGAAAGAACCTATAAAATTTCGAAAGATTAGCTGAAATGTAACAATTCAATCAAGCAAAAAAAAACTGAAATCACAATGAAATA